ATTCTCAGCAGGCATTCTGGGGAACTTGGGGCTTGGGTTTTATGCCATGTTTTTTCTTCCTCTTACTTGCAAGCAAAACTAAAATATTCATATAAGCTGTCAGTTCTCTAAAGCGAATTCATCCTTTTTAAAAAATAAAACAAAATATAGAGTCAGTGGATAGAACAGAAACAATGTGTAACATAACAAATGACATTTCTGCTCCAAAGTACATCACTGTAATGGACCATATTATTCTGGACTGTGGATACAAATGATTTTTTTTTCTCCACAGCATCTTGTAACAATTCTTGAGACACAGTCGTGCACAAAACATCATTTGTAATTATAGCACTTTGCCATTTTCATCTGCTCCGTGCTTATTTCTCAACTGATGGATAATCCATGTACTTCAAGTTAATGAAGGTTTCTTCATGCTGCCATAGACGCTGCCAGTTTTCACAACCTGCGTTTTGAGACAACATTGGCTTTTTTCTTTGAAGGAAGGAATAAAAAAGAATTAGTTGCCTCACGGTGCATTTTTTCACACAGATTCCTAGGGTGTTGCAGAGGAATACCGTCAGTGGAGAGTGGTTTTGGGTACAAAGAAGAGTTTAGACTACAGATTTAATTTCAGATCAATCTGAGACACCTTTTTTGGATCCGTAATTGTTTTAGTTAGTTTACTTAGTTTTCTATATCATTATTATATTTCTGACATTCTGACTTTGAAAAAAATACTGGTTGCTTTGTCTAATAGTTGTCAGTTTACAAATCTCATGTCTCTAGACGGCATAACCAACTTAGATACCTTTGTCAGAAGCAATGCAGACGGATTTTAAGTCAGGATTACGCATACATCATAAAAGCAAGAACATATTTTAGTCTTTGAGAACAGCTGAGCTGCAACTGTCTCACAGTATCTGGACAGAGATTGGCTCTTATTTAATTTCTTATTTACTTTCCTAGAACATATGTGGAGGAGTACCTTCGCGTGTAAGGTTCGGACTTCATTAATATTTTGCTACAGACTTGCCCGTTTGCATAAACCACCCACCGATGGCTTTGTCACAGGCTTCGTCACCTTGGCTTGCAGTAACCTTTGTGAAAACTTGAGCGCTCGCATGGCAGCGCGTACGGCGTCAGTACCTTTCAGAATTTTACAAAACCAGCTGATTAAATCTGATTTTAAATACTACTTTCAGCCTAGAACCCTGCCTTTTTAATAATCAATTAAAACATTGTTTCGTTGTGTTTATTCAGCGCGTATAAAGCGCTGCTTGACATGTATTAGCCCTTACATAGCAGTACACAGCTGTAGCCCATCCAGCATTTTCCAAATGAGTTTGCACAAGGAATAAAAGATTGCCATCTGAGCAACACTGGAGGGAGACAAGAGCAGACAAAAGGCAGTTAAGCGCTACAGAGAAAGAAAAGACCCTGTTGAGAGAGAAATTTCTGAGCAAGTGCCTCAATTTCGCCGGGAGATTCTGTAGCAGGCAATGTACATTGATTTTTGCACATGAAGTACGCTGCGTTTGGGATTCATTAAGCTTCATTTTGTGCACTGTCGTGAATGGGTATGTCAACTACTCTAGCAAGCAACGCACGATTTCAAAGCGAGGAGGTAGAATAAACCGAAGTGAAAATATCGTGTGCCCCGCAAAGAGAGTAAGCCCGTGGTAAAAGGAAAATGCTTTGGCAGCTAAACGTTGTGTGTCACAGTAGCTGTAATCAACGCCTAAACGTTTTTTGAAGGATTTTATACTTACAGTGATTAAAATATGACTTAGGCAACACCAATAAGTTCACGCTCCTCGCTGGCCTGGGGAGAATCCCGCCAGATGCAGAGCCTTAGTTCCGTCATCGGGAAGAAAATGCACAGGCAGCTGTTCGATACTATTCTGACTCATTTTTGGGGGGTTTGTTGTTTTCAGCTCCCATATTTCTACATAATTTGTTTTTGTTTGTGTTTCGTTTGTAGCTGAGAAGCCTGTAAGTCGAAGAGGTTTATCCAGAAATCTCTTCAGTAGATTTTGTTTATTAATGATGATGCCAGTGGCATTTTTTGTTTGTCTTCGACTCTACTATAAATTGTAGTGATTTAGGGCTGGGTGAAAGGTTCGGGAAGCTGCTCAGAATTTTCCTGAAGGGACTGGTTCGCAATGCCAAATCCCTGAAAGAGTGGGACGGTGCATAGACGTGGCTATGAGGAAAAAAATAAAAGTTTATCGCTCGGTTCTCCAGCTTCTAAGCTTTGCCTTCCACAGATATTAGGCTGTTCTTAATGAAATTAGCCTGAGCAGCAGGGCTTTACTGCCAAACTTTGCTGTATGCCGCGTTCCATAGCAGAGGGTGACTTTATGCATCTTGCTGGTTTTTGGGTTGGTGGCTGCAGGCGCTGGAGAGAGAATAGTAGAGGAAAATGACAATTGTACTCCTGCACTGTACCAGTAACCTGTTCAGGGAAAACCCAAGACCCTGGAATTAGCCTCTTGTGATTTAAATACTTAATGTGGTCACTGAAGAGGTGCTGAGCCTGTGAGGCGAGGGGCTCCGAGCCTGGGATAGCTGCTGCTTTCTGCAGAAAGTTTTCCTCTTTCTTTCCTTTCGCCACTATTTGATCTTTTAAAAGAACTCCGGATAAGTGACAGCAGTAGACTTAACAGTTATTAGGTCGCAAAGTAGTGGATGTGGACTACTTGGGGGTTAGCTTACGTTTATGCTCTGATCGCAGCTGCCATTTGGGTCAGAAAGAGTTTTCCCTTTTGATAGATTGGCCGTGTGCTCGGAAAACTTGTCTTTCCCCAGAGCATCATGTAATTATTCGGTGGCGAAGAGTTGTGCGACGTTGCTATGGACGTGCGGCTCTCCACGCCGAGAGCTGCTGTAACACTGATATATGGGAGTCTAATCATTCTGTCAGGGCAGCGTAATATCGATGCGCCGGGACAACATTTCTATCAGAGGGCCCATTACTTGCCCCCTTCGTTCAAGAGGGGAGGAGGACTGGGATGAGCCAAATTCTGACTGTTGCTTAGCCCGAGAGAGGCTTATCCGCTCTGGGGTTCAGTCTGTAGCCTTTAATTTCCGCAGGAGATGCCGGTGGCGCATCGGGATGCTGCTGCTGCTTGCAAAGCCCCGGCTGGTCAAGGGGTGTGTGACTTGTTTGGTGCAGGACCCCGGTGTGTGTGAGAAGAACCAGGCTGGCAGGGGTCTGCCACAGCCCCCTGCCCCTGCGGTCCCATCCTGCGGGGGCCAAGGTCTCAGGAGCTGGTGGAAGGTTCAAGTTTTCTGTGGAAGTCTACCGGGGTGTCAGGAGTCGTGCCGGTAACAGCTACCGCACAGAACTGCTGCTCACCTCTAGAATTAAAGCAGAAGGTAAATTAAAAATTGCTCGTGCTTCTTGAGAATCGGAGTTTATCAGATCAACGTGTAGCTGCACTGAAATCAGACACTAGGATATATGAGCAGAGTACTGCTTTGTTGACATCTGAAGGATTTGTAATTCATTCAGAAGGAAACTTTTCGGGTGCTCATCTTTCTGGGTCTATTTCCCTGTTAAGGTAATCATATTTCTCCAAGTGACCCGTTTTGGAAGTCGTCTTATTTCTACAGCGTAAAAATTCTGGTGGTGAGCATTCCCGAATTGCACTCGTAATTATTTCTGATTAGAAGTGCCCTGGCCTGACAGCACCAGGGAAATTAATAGGAGAAGCTTTCTACAAGTTTTAGAAGATGAGCAAAGACACACTCCCTCTTAAAATTATTTAAGCAGGTGCTGTGGGAAGCCATTGCTTTTATAAGGCTCTTCAGATGTTTACAGCAAAACATTTTTTTCCCAGTGATTGAATTTTTCAAAGTACTAAAATACCACGGAGAAATATGTTTCCCACCGTTTTTATGGCTCCCAGGATGCATTCTATACAAACCTTGTATCTGCCTGGACACAAACACTCTATTGCAAAAAGATATCTTGCCATTTTAACAAGCCATACTGCTTTGAAAGGATACACTGCATCACCAGGGGGAATGTCAGTACCTTAAGAGTAATACTTCTTTAAGGGTACTATTTTATTAAAGCAGACCTCAGTAATTTGTTCCTGACTGTTATACATCCTTATTTTATTAAAGGTATTTTACATCTGTGGAGGAGATTACTGCCACTCCTATTTTCTCCACTGCTTGGCTTTAATGGATGGCATGGAATATAATATTTATTAAGCCTAAGCAGGGGAGGACATAATAGCAGAATTGTCCTTTATAACCTATTTTACACAGTTGTAAAATAAACGTTAATAAAGCACGAATAATTATCCGGGAATATCCAGGAAATGGAGTACTCTGCCTGATTCAAATATTTGGAGGACTTAACTGCTGGTTAGACACATGCTTTAAGAAATTAAACTTAACAGAAATTAAACTTAACAGTTAAGCCCTCCAAATGCTTTAAAGCATATTAAAGCATATTAATATTGATGTTATTGGTTTCACCCGTGATAGGAGCAGCCTTTGCACCAAGCATGTGCACAGGTGACATTGGAATAGTCCCTTGCACCAGGGAGACAACTTAAGAAACCCTTTCCTGGGGTCACATTTGCAGCTCTGGTGGGCAGGGGGAGCTTTGCAGGTGCGAAACGGGAACGCGAGCATTTGTGCCGCGCTGGGGAAAATTTTTGCTCCCGCTGGTCACAGCTGTTGATGTAGTCGCCATGGGTTTTGTGAATAGGAAAAAAAAATGGAATCTTTCGAATGAGATCTGTTTCAGAATATTCTGGTTGTACTACCAAATCCTGCCATAAAGCGAGTAGATGATGAAAATGGTTGAAAAGCACGTTGTATATTTGTAGTGCAATGAGTGGGACATGAGAGAAACTTGAGGCACAGAAGGTACCTCCTGTCCAGAAGCGACGTAGCTGCAGTTCGTGTGCTGCTGGGATCGAATTATTACCCTTCTCCTCCTTCCTTCCCGGGTTCCCCGTGCAAGGCTGCTGGACGTGAGGTTCGTTGGTCTGGGTGGGATGCCTGGGTTTGGCAGGGAGCTGCCCGAGGACGTGGCAGGGCAGAAACGACTTTGTCTGTGTGCTGGGGACGGGTCTTCTCCAGGGCTGACAGTTCCAAGAACGGACGTGAACTTCAGCTTGAAAACCGTCAAACTGTTCCTATTTATCCTTGTCACACCCAGCCCGTGTTTCTCCACCTTCCCTGTGCAATACTCTTACAATTTTGGTACTGCTTCTCGGATAGCTTTGGTTTTCTGGTTCTTTTATGAATTCTCTTCTTGGTGGCAGTCACTGGAATCTGTCTCCAAGGCAAAAAAAAAGGAAAGATTTTGTGTTAAGGACCTAAGGCAGATTTGCGAGAAACTGATTCCCAGTCAGGTATTCCAGAAGGACTGGGAAAGCAATTCCTATCTTCCCTCTTCCTTCCTGACTTCTTCCTCCTGTCATCCTATTTATAATTTTTTTTCATAAATGAATATTGTGGAAATTATTTGGACTAAAGTTATTACATTAATTATCCAAACTGACATTTTTGCAGTGTGTGAAAGGACAGGGTGGTATGTAAAATAGATGCACTAAGAACACCTACAGTATGACAACAAGTAGCAGGGTAATTGCTGAAAATGAAGTCTTTTCTGCTATCCCTTCTCTTCAACATCTGTTGTTCCATATGGAGTCATAAATATTTGCAACAAAATAGTTGAAGAAATAATCTCAACATTAATAGGGAAGAGCTGAATACGCCAAGAAAATCGAAAAATCTTTTTTTTTTTCTTGGCAAGTTCCTCCTACCCATCCTCATCTGACAGTTTAAAATCTCAGTAGAAGAGTAGTCAGACTACAGAAAATATCTAAAAATCACCATGAAAAAAACCCAAACCTGTGTGAATGTTAAAGGAGAGTTGGCTGAGAACAATTTTACAACCTTTTGATAACGGCCATGCCGAGCGTTTTGTTTATTTTGTTTCATTTTCATCCTTTCTTCCACGCTGCAGTAATTTTCTTACTAGCCTTTGAGAGAAGAGTTCACATTTTCACTTTTCTCTGGTGTCAGTAGAAATAATGCTTCTTGTCGGTGTGAGGAATGACGAGGTACTCTTACTAGCTAAAAGTAACTAGTTACTTTAAACTGCCATATGGAAAATGCAGATTGATAGGAATAAAGCTTCTACATAGACTAAGAAGCAACTTAAGGCGCAGAACAACTTTAGATGTTTTGGAATCCACATTTATCAAAACCTGCCTGAGGAGCAGCTCATAGGAGAACACAGGTATAATAATAATACAGACAAGCTATAAATTGTGAATAATTGCATATAAAAGATAGTATTTTTAAAGGCTTTTTATGTATTTGTTAGTAGCCTTAATTGTACTTGTGGTTCTCCTTAATGAACAGAATTTAATCAGTTGAAATCAGTGGTATTTGTTTTTCTTAATCTGTATCTATTGAGCTTCAGGCTGAAGTTACTTGGTACTTAATTTCTGATGTCTATCTAGTGCATTAAGGCATTTCTTACTTTCATTTTTTAGTATTGCAAACATATCTCATCTAGCTTGAGCCCTTTTTTTTTCAAGGTTTGAATTAATAAAATATTTTCAGGTGTTTTTGCCATCAGTACCATGTGAACATCAGTGTATATTGTAAATATGAAGTTATAAATAGGTGTAATTTTCTGTCTTGTTAATGAAAGTACATTGATGAAAATGTCAAAGCTGTATAATTACGTGCCTCTTGATAAAGAGTGCACAGATAAAGACAATTTGTAAACTGTAATTTCAGCCTTTTCTAGTGAAATTTTCATTTCTCGGATTTTTTGCCTCCTTCTCCTATTCAAACACTAAGTGCCTCCTTTATGATGTCCTTCAGGCAAACCCACCGTCTTAATTCCTGAGCACGCTTCCAGGCAAGGTGATGGAACGCATGGCTTGCACATTTTTTTTCTCTCTTTTTTTTGTTTTTACGACTCCAAATATTCAGTTTTTCCAAAGCCAGCGCATTGCTCTAAATCTAACAGACGTGGTCTACGTTCCCCTCCTGTGTTAAAAACAACAAAAAGGTTTTATTAGAACTTTTTTTTCAGGACAAAGTCAACTGATGTCAGAGTGCGTGGGGTGAGAGCCAGCAGGGACACGGATGCCCTGAAGTGGAGAATGGTTGGTTTTACTGTTTTGTGATAGTTTCCAAAAGCTCTTAAGGCAGCCTAGAAATGTATATATAGTGATTAGATACTGCTTTTAACGTGACATTTCCTTACGGTAAAGCTCACTATCTAGCAAGTTGTGTTAATCATTTGAAAAGGAAATAAAAATCCGACTTAAAGCTAGTGCGTGGGATTAATCAGCCACTCCCCAACCGCATTCATTGACCCTGTTCATTCAGGGACTGTAATTAAGAAAAAACAGCAGCGACTTTAAATTTGGCACCTGAGTCACAAGGTTAAAGCAGTAAATTCCGACGTCAGGTTGGTGCCAGATTAGGAAGAAGTAGGTGTCTCTTTTCTCACTGACGATCAGGAGTGCTCAGCTCCTGGCAGAGAAGCGTTGAGTGAGGGGGAAAAAGTCAGGCAGAGGTTTATGGAGGATTTTCAGAGTTATTAAGACACTGAAGACAGATAACCTGTCCTTGCAGATTTACAGATACAAAATATTTGAAATAAACAATGCTTCAGGTTACAGGTTTCTCCTACTTAGTATAAAAGAAAAAAAATCTAGTAGTTTCTAGTTATGCAGCACAGAAGTTGCCAAGGTTTAGAATTAAAATAAGTCTCACTATTTTTTTTTGAAAGCTGCTTTTTGCAGTCAAAAATTAAAATTTGGGCCCTACTTCTGTCAAAATACCCATGTTTGGACACCGCTGCCTCTCACTGTTGTGAAGTAGATACACAACTGGGAGTCACGGGACCTCTTGCCACTATAAAAATATATCAGTTTGTATGATTCTCTCAGATCTTTGGGCAAATAATACTATTTCAGACAAAAATGTATCTTTTTTGTCAAAGATGAGTAGGATGTACAACCCATCTGATATTGTAGATCCTCTGTTGATTTTTATTAAAAGTCAGAAAGGTCCATTAGAGTATTGAGGCTCCTTGTTTGTGGCTATGGACAGTTAAATGAGATCCCTGTCAATCAGATACGGAGCTCCAAGAGTTATAATTGTCCGTAGGTTTCTAAATTGTATGCCACAGGTGGGGAAAAGTAGTGACCCAGCTGCCATCCATGTCCAAAACTGTCTTAGTAATGCTAACCAAAGACTTTCTGAGATTAAACGTCTCTTGCTTAGTAACTAACACATTAATAAATACAATTTTTGTATAAATTATTGCTCTCTTATCCATATGCCACATATTTATTTTTTGCATGATTTATATTCTATAAGCTATTTGAGGGGAATAATGCTTGTACAGGTCCAGAGAGATAAAAGTTTTGAAATATGTGAAGAGATAACTCGGTGGCCTAACCAGTGCTAGGTAAGATGTGAACTGTAGCTTTAGTATTTCTGCCTTGTTTTGCGAGGGACGTGGCGTGTCACGTGGATCAGCATATGAATGATGGGTTTAAAACATGCCTTCTGAACGAATATAAACCAGCTGGCAAATAAAATTGCCTGTTGGTTTGGGCCGTGCAGTGTCACGCAGGGAGCAATTCGCTTTCCTTGTGTTCTCGGGGCTGCGTTTAGTCCGTAGGTTGATGCTTCCTTTCCCAATCCCTATTTCTGCAACTTAGGCAGAAGACAGAAGATGAAATACTTCAGTATATAGAATTAAGAACAAGAAACTTCCTAGCAGATTTCCATGTGTTTTCCCGGGATAATATTCCATTCACTGCTAGTGTTCACTATGCGTTTCTTTTCTCCGCAATATAATTCTTGCTTTTGCCTATTCATCTGGGTGCCAGCTAGAAATTAAAATAAAAAGACTGCACTCTAAATGGATTCCTGAATGCTGTTATAAAGCATGGCAGGTTTAACAAACGAGCTCGATAAAAGTAGTTCCCACTTTGCTTCAATAAATAGAAAGGTTGTTTGTGTCCTTGGTTAGCTTGTAGCTGTCCTCGCTTTATTTCTTGCTTATTCTGTTGTACTGTATGTGTGAGCGCAGCTTTTAGCGTTTATATTTTTAGTGTTCTTTAAAATCAAAATGCTTAAATCAACATTTTTTTTGCCCTGTCGAAGAGATGCATTTGATACAATCCACAAAAGATGCTTCTAACATATGCCACTTTTAATTGCCTTACCAATTATGATTTCTCTAGTCTAGCTAATAAATTTCTGCCTAACGGTGCACTTATTCAGAGTGTGGGCCAGACGTAGACACCATTCAGATGTGAAGACCTATTACAGGATTGAAATAGATTTCTAATGCATTTATCATTCATCTTTGCGGAGTGCGATTTCAATCAGAAAAAAGAAATGATGAATAGCTTGACAGTTTCCACCCATATACGCTAAAACATAATATGCTGCTTCTAGTTTTCAGCTATTACAGACTTTAACATGCAATGTGACCTTGGTCTGCAAAGCATGTTTGGTTAGCACAAAAACTTAATCATAAGAAGTCATAAGTAGAATCCTTCTTCTTTACTGCCCTTTTTCTGGGACTTGGAAATTTATTGCTTCTGGGACAGGTAGGATATGAACAATGGGCCAAATAGAGTCCAGGGTTATCTCATCTGTGTGAAAACTGCTGCTGAAAATCGATGTGACCTCTGCTACACTGTCATCCCAATTCCCACCCTCTGTGTCCTATTTGTCTTTCGGTAGAAGCTTAGATCTGTGTGCTGTCTCTATGTGTCTCTCTTGGGCCAGATTATCAAAATGAATCATTGCCTGCATACCTCTTATATTTCTATTTATTTTCCTGGTGTTGACTAGGTCTGATGAAATATGATTCTTTTTGCATTTGATCCTCACTGCAGCAAGCAGCACCTAATTTAGCCGTGTCTATCTCTTTAAAGAAGAGTAATACTATTTTGAAACTTCAATCTGCTGTACAGTAACATTACAAACCATAGACCATGCAGCCTGTCTTCACAGTCAATAGTAATTTTCCTTTCGGCCAATATAATGTTATTACTTTCATCTCCAAATAGCAGAGATTTCTAGAGATTTTAAAGCAGCTATAGTTTTGTTATGCATACTTCATGTTTCTTTTTTCAAATGCCACTTCTGTTTAGTCTTTTGTGACTCCATGGCTTATGAGTTATTTCTGTGTAGCGGCATATGCAACAGCTAATCAGTTTATTTTCAAAACTCTGCCACTGATCTGAGATACTAAAATATGAGAAATGGTATATCTGAATCAGCATGAACTCCGTAGTCTGCTACCAGAGTTGTCTTTTTTTTTTCCCCCCAAAATGGATCACTTAAATTCCATGAACACAACTCTAAAATGATAGCTACAAATATGTGTGGAGGTTACTAGCTGTTGTTGTTATTAGTCCTGAGGAATCATTATGAAGATATTCCATTTAATGAACTCAAACGGGGAAAACGAAATGCTCCCTAACCAGAGATTTCAAAGAATAGTTGAAGACTGCTAATGCTCCTGGTTCGTTGTCGGTAAGCGTATTTTAGAAACACAGCAAAAAGTGCTGGCTGGCTGCTCAATAGTTGCTCCTGGAGTTTGTTAAACTCGGTAATAGTACTGCTGGAGAGACACCGTGGTTTAATTCGTCGTCGTCAGATTCTTTTCCGAGTAGTTTCTGTTGAAACAAGAGGTGATGGAAGGAGGCCTTTTGAATATGTCACGTACGCTCTAATTGTAAATCCCGGCTTTAATAAGAGCAAAACACTTGACAAAAGGGACTGTGAAACCGGCTGTGCAGTTGCCCTGAGAAAAAAAGCGCGCCATGGCCTAGGGTCAGTACATTAGCTGGGAGCTTTACTAAAAGGAATTGCTGGGAAGATGTTCTTTATGATTTCTGCTAGTGCAGGACGGTAATATATAGAGACTGGATTTCCCTGCAGTATTACACAGAAATACTTTTTTTAAACATTTCAGTGCACGGCGTTCAGCTTTAAAGACTGCCAAATTTTAATTTTGTGGGTTTCCGCAACCAGCATAATGTTTAAAATGAGTACACGGGGAAGAAGTCTACTATCCTCCGATATGTTTAAATTATCCTGTTCAAAATTGTGAGTCCATTGGTGACGGGGCTGATTCATCACAGAATTGAAAGGATTTTTCAGAAATAATTATTAATGTTGTTTCTGCCCGGATACACATTTCTACTGTCTGTGCACAGCTTGCCCGATAGCAACATGCTCCGTTTGAAACAACGAGTGAAGGGGAAGCTGCCGGGTCCCAATTTTACAATTTGCAAGGAGCTTCGGTCTCATTCTGTGCAGTAAAAGGCAGGAGCGAGGCTGGTGCTGCAGCACCCTCTCCTCCCCAGCCGCTCGTTCACCCCCCCCCCCCCCCCCAGCCGCTCCTCTGCCACCCTCCCAGCTCTCTTGGTGCTGCCTCCGGTAGGGATAACTCAGCCAAGCAATTTTGGCTATTGCCCATAACTAGAAAAGCTGACGGTAGCAAGGTAGTTGTTAAGAAAACCTGCGCTGACACTTCCGTGACAGCACGCGGTCGGCACTAGCAAAGCGGGAGGGGATGACTCAGTGGAGATTATTTACTGCTGAGTATGGGAAGGCTAACGCTGAAGGGGTAAAAAGGGATGGGATACGTTTCTCGATTAGGATTTCATCAAGGTTACCGCACCAAAAAAAACCACACGTCGCAGAATAGCAAACATGATAGGAAGAAGAAAGGTCGCTTGGGTTTAAGGAACTGCGTAATACTGTTACAATTCTGTAGTAAAATTCTGTAGAATTTCAGATGTAATAGTCCCTGTTACAGACTTCACTATATTTGTTATTGTTCTGTGCTATTTTGCAAACTTACCTTAGCTACAATCACAGCTGCCCAAAAACTCAAATGATGTCATTTTTACAAACGCGCTTGTATTTTGACTTCCAGGTAAACAGAATGCTACTTTCTAGAAATTACATTTACTTGTATTTCCAATGCTTTCTGATGTTGCTTTTAAACCTGTCTTTACAGAAGAGGTCCAAATTGCCATTCCAATAATGAAACCAACCTTAGATAAAGTCCAACTGGCTGGACAGGCCTTGCCTCCTGGATTTCCGGCGCCATTTCTTTTTGCTGATGGTCTTTCATCAGTAGAAACACTATTAACCAACATTCAGGTAAAATATTCTCTATAGGGCCAGGTGATATCATGCTAGATAAAATGGGTTTCTTTTTCAGTCTTTTTCTCTAAGTTTCCCAAACTATTTTGTATCTGCAATTTTAATTTTTTTCATTTAATGGTGATGCTTAGGTGGCCACTATTTGGCATTATCGATCGTGAAAAGGTTTCATACGTTGTCTGTTTGCCTTAATAGTTGGCAATAACAGTCATGTTCAAATTCACCAGTCTCATTATTCCTCCTTTGCTTCTTCCTGCAGTGGAATTAGCAAAAGCCATACTGAACAATTCCATGCCACAAAATTGCTCTTGTAGAACATTTAGCTACTTCAAATGCCTGCTTGCATTCCAGGTCTATAAGTTCCTTTTTTAAATTTTTCTGTTTTCCTAGAGGCTGTGAAAGAAAGAAATGGATGAATTTTTGTCGCTGCAGAAACAAAATGATATTTCAGGCTCTTATGTTTGTGTTTTAGGGCCTGCTGAAAGTGGCTGTGGACAATGCGAGAGTCCAGGAAAAGCAGATACAGCAGGAAAAGAAAGAGTTAAAGATGGAGCTCTGTAGAGAGAGAGAACTACGAGAGAGCTTGGAAAGGCAACTCACAGCCGAGCTGCAAAGCAGAGGTGAGTGAATGAAAAATGGAGTTTAGGTATCTATTAAATATCCAACCCTGTGGCATTTCCAGCCGGAGCTATCGAGGACTCGGAGTTAACTGACATTCATACTTCAGTGTAATGCGGCAGCGGACTAGCACTGGTAATGAAAGATTTAAATTTAATAAAAACAGAATGAAGCTCACTTTTCTGTAAGCAGACAGAACAGTGACTGAAGGATTATTTCCTGGAGGGCAACTGGCCGCGGAGAGTTTTGGCAGGTTCTGAGGGGGAAAGCTGATTCGGTTTCGCAGCTTTCACGTGTATTATTACCACTCCGCCTGTGTATTCCCAGTCTGGTTTCTTTATTTGACAGCTTTAATTTCTTTTGTTTTCTGCTATTATCCTCCAAGCACTGAGAATCGGTCTTACTGTGAGAAAGATAATATGTCTGTAATTTGGGTGTTTCGGTGATTTTTTTTCATTACCTCACTACTTATCTAGCCCACATTTGTGTAGTTTAGGTGCTAAGCCAGCTAGTTTTTCTTGTAGATAACTTCAGCGCAGCAAAATAGATGGAACTACAAGAAATTGTCTGCCCAAGTGCAAGATCTGAAGCAACTAACATTAGATTTTTATTTTTTTTTACCATCAGGTGAGTGAGATACAATAGCACTCCCCATGAAGAACCTTCTAAGACAAAACCATGGCTGTTTAAGAGCTTTTGATAGTAATAGGCAATTAAAGTGGTAAATCCAAATTTTTCGCTGTGATATTGCAAAGAAGGCAGCGTTCTTTTTAAAATTCAAATCTGCATCTGAAACAGAGGAATAGTACTTTATGTGCCAAAAGCTACTTCTAGATTACATCCATGAAATCAGAAAGATAAAACTAGATAAGACCAAAAATGTAGGTGCCAAGTACAACCTTCCTGTGCATTTTGAATTGAAATCAAGTGTGGGGAACAGAGCTGTCCGCAGCATCGAGTCTTGGTAAGAGGTAGTAAAGAAAGGAACTGTTAGGTCAAGTTGTGAAGGGTCAGTAAGTTTTTAAATTGCAGTGGGTGTTCAGACAGGTTGCATCACCCCAGTCTAAGTGTGGATGAGACCGCTGTATTTCTGTAAAACCAAACTTGTCTCCTTGTAGGCAGACAGCACATAATGAACTTTCTGACTCACATTTTAGTCATAGAATCTTAGAATGGCCTAGGTTGGAAGGGAGTCATAGAATCATAGAATGACCTAGATTGGAAGGGACCTAAGAGATCATTTCATCCAACCTCCCTGTCATGGGCAGGGATGCCACCTCTTGACTAGACCAGGCAACACATGGGGACCGAACGGGAATCAAACCCATGACCTCGGTGTTGTCAGCGCCGCGCTCAACCCACTGAGCTAACCGGCCACCTAAGTCAACAAAAAGCTTTTGCAGGCTTTGTTGGCCTTGGGCTCAAAAGGCAATTTCACCAATAATCGATATTCTCACAAAGTTTGTGTTTTTCAGATTATTGCCCCATGCACATCATTATTAGAGAAAATCAGAGAGAGGTTTTTTCATGTGGGTTGCTCAATTTTCTGAAGTTATGTTCTACAGATCACGTTTTGGCATTCATAAGTTTGGTCTCTCAGAGATTTCCCACGTAACAGTATCTGTTTCTTTCCCTTGACTGAAGCATTCACAAATCCAGAATGATCTGTAAAAAGCCGTAAGACTTCAGAGGAACAAGTGATCACAAGAAGTTATGTGAACACGGGATTTTCCCAGCGTTTTCCTAGATTTTTTAGTAAATTTTCTGCCGATATTTTGCAATTTGCAATTCACAGGTATCTAATATAGAGGAGAAGCAAATAAATAACAGGGATCACAAAATACCGCTTGCATATATTCAAGTCCCATTTTTAACAATCCTTGTGAGCAGTATTACCAGTGTACACTCCAGCCAACTTGACTCTAAAACAGATGGTAGTTTTAAAAGGGCATTTAAGCTCAAATTCTCTTTAGTCTGTTAGTTTTGCCTACCTTTTGTAGTGTCATCACTTCTCCATTTGTTTGATTCCGTGATGGACCCGTGGGATTAAGTGCTGCTCTGTGCACGCGTGAACTGAAGCAGCACAATGCAAGAACATTCTTCGGTCTTCTGCATAAGCAGGGAAGGGAGATGCAGCTCATGCAGGGAAAGTGTTCTTGCAGGACTGTTGAAAAGAAAAGCAACCAAGTGTAAGAGCCCGTTAAAGATAATTCAGTAATGGCAATGAGGAGAGTTGGTTAGCCAGCAGGAGCACAACAAGGATTCTGGTAGATGGTTCAGACATCGTTCTGGCCCACGTAATAGGAACCTGGTGCTGCTGAAGAATAAGGTTGAAGATGGTATTAAGATTCGGGGTTTGGAAAGGAAGAGGCTTAGAAGGTGCATTTTATTGCTTGAATTTATATAGGTGAGGGAGTGTAATCATAGCCAATGTCAGCAGTTCCCAGTGAAGGTATTGGTCATCTGGCTACAATTAATACTGTACAATTCTCCAGTTATAGTTTTGACTTGATTTATAGTTGGATTTAAGACTGAGATTGGCCTGTTTTTTGCCAAATCTTACAAGGCTGTACCAATGGCCCAGGGCTGATCTGCGTCCAGGCAGTGTTTCTGCTTTCAGTCTGTAGAAGAGCGAAGACGAGATGACTCAAAAGTGCACCGAGAGCCACCACGGAGCTGTACGGCAGCACCGTGTTACCGCACTGTTACCTGTCGCAAGCCCAAACAGCCAGTGCTACACCGTTTTAGAAGCAGGAATTGCTAATGAAGAGAACAGATTTGGTTTATGTATCAGTGTTAGAAGCTTGTGTTCAGATGGCGTTCTACCTGGGAAGCTCCCTTTTAATTTCTCACTGAAATTTGAAATATACACCCAACGCTTTTCTATTTCTCTGCTTTCTTTGACTTTCACTGTTCATTTCTGCCACTGCTGATGACGTGGGAAAGTACTCATGCTACCCAGTACATACCCCTTCTCCATGTGTTTGCCCTTTCTTCTGTGTATGTACCCACTGAACCCAGGTTCTCAAGAGCCTTCTCTCTTGTTATTTCACTTATTCAACTGCTCCAGTTTTATTCAAAAAATTACCACCTACTTCTGTGGGGTTTCACCGTGCACACCCTTGGTAGTGACATTTCAGAATCCCTGACACTGCACGCTGCCAGTTCACCTGCACAAATGGATTTCATTTTATTTTAGTATTAGAAAACGTAACTAAAAACAAATCTCGAAGGCTTCCTGCATCCACGAGGAGTGCTCGGGCAACCAGTGTGTTTGAATTCTCTTTCTAGATAAAACTACTGGAGAAGGAGGGGGAACTGTAATTCTTAGCATTAAGGGAAAGGTTAGAATGAAGAGTGAGAATGTTTTTTTTTAAATTTTGTTGATGTACATCGCTGCTATTGCTTGAAATTAGCTCAAACCAATGATCTGCTCAACCAAACTCCGCAAACTGTAGCTGGAATTTAGTCCAAATACGGGGCTGACTCTGAGACTCTAAGGTTCTGATCAGGACACTTAAAAATTTACCCATGGGGCTGCTTCAGAGTGAGAATAAGATTTAAGATCTTTAACAAGATTTAAAGCCCGTTCAGATAGTTCATTGTTTCTCTACAGGATGTGGCTTGGGTTTGGAATTGTTGGGTTTTTTTAATTTCAGATTCATGCCAGATTATTTTTTTCTCACGTGAGAACTGGGTCCTTGAACGTTGAATGTAAAGTCATGTGTTGTCTCCATTATATATTAATTGTGCTTTAACAGCCCTGCTTACAATATATTTACATTTCAGCAACAATTCAGAAACGCTTGAAGAAGGAAAAAAAGGCAAAGAGAAAATTGCAGGAAGCTTTGGAATTTGAATCAAAGAGAAGAGAACAAGTGGAACAGGCGCTTAAACAGGCGACATCAGGTGACGGTCTCAGGATGTTAAATGGTAATGTCTTAGTTGGCCTTTCACAGTTAGCTTAAAATGATGTTTAACTGAGTGAAGGAAAAAAAAAAAAGGAAGATGATGCACAAAACAAATTCCAGGATTAAAAAAAAAAAACAAACCACAATCCTTTCCTGAAATAATTAAAAATCTATTTCAGGCCATGTGCTCTGGGTTATGAATTAAAAAAATAAGTCTGCAATTAGAGAAACAGACAGAGCAGTTTACACAGACCTGACAAGAAATGCTGAATATATTACCAGAGAAATCTGTTACAGTGCCAGCTAAGACAATGTGAAATTTGGTTCCTGTAAGGTTCTCTGAACTCTTCTCTCCCAGCAGATTCATTTTTAGAACTGCTGAGCTTCATTTTAAAAGCCATTTGGCTGAAGTTTGCTCAGCCTCAGGACCTATTAAGTTTGTTAAATATGTATCAACTTTCAGAGCTGACTAGGTTTTGAATACTTCCCAAATATTCTTGTGAAACCAGTTAATCTCCTAAACAGGTTTATTATGTTTTGGATAGTGGGAGGATTTGCCTCTCTTGCTTAACATGGTTCTGGCCAAAGTGTAGAGCTTTGATTTGAATCTCTAAGACTGCACCTAGTGGAGTTTTAATTAATTTTGGGTTCTGTGGCTAAGGTTTAGTCTGTGCATCCCTAACCCAAAGTCTCTGCAGAGGTGCCTGAAGCAGAATTTGTTGAATCTGCTGCATGTGTGTAATGTTGTGCTGCCAGCTTTGGGCACCGCTAGCAGCCAGGACATAACAGCATAAGCAGGCTGTAAAAACTGGCCGAACTGCCAAGGAAAAATAATGATTTTTAGCTTGTCTTGAGTTCTCAGTTGTGAGGGCTACCCAAAGTGTTTTTTAAAGTTAGAGCAGACCTGTCTGCGTGAAGGGCCATCGCAGCACTCTGCCATGGACTGCAGGTTGTGATTTATCTAGAGCACCTAAGAGATAGAAACTCTTTAAGGAGGAGAGCAGCATCTTTCAAAGGCATTCTCATCTACTGGATTTTATTGTCCAGCATATCACTGTAACCGGGAGCTGGCTGGCTTTTTTGATGTGCAGACAGTGGTGATTCGGGCGTGGATTTACGGCTTGCGCTCGCACCGTGCTCAGGGACAGTGACCCAAGGGAGAGTGGGTGGACAGAGCCGGCAGAAACTTTTTCCGCCACCTCCACAGGATCAGAAAAATGCCCAGATCGGATCCCACAGCCATAGCCAGCACCTTGAGATGAATGTCAGAAAAAAAACGCAAACAAACTAACCAAAAAAATTCCTGTCAGGTCATTCACCTGGGTTCTGCCATTACTGGTGAGCACCTGTCGCTCGCGCAGCAGCGAGGAGCACTCAGCAGTTCTGGAAGCCGCGGATTAAAGGGTACTGACACGCCAGCAATGTGATAAACAGGTCTTTACATCTGCTGTTGTGGGCCTGGCTGCTAACGTTTTGATTTGCAGGCACACTCAGGTAGTCGTATATATGGTAGTGCCTGCAAGAAGCTGATATTTACATGCTAATCTGATTGCACATGCAAATCAGGTAGCTCATTAGCATCTTAATCCACAATTTAATTGCAGGTACAGTTTTATGACAACAAAATGTGAAGGGCTACTCTGAATATTTTTAATTTAACTCTGACAGTCTGTCTCATTTAACAGATGCTGTTATTAGTTACAGATGACTTTGTCATTTTACGTATATACAACATGTACTCTAAGGCGTTTGAGAAGAAAGAAGCTTTGTGAAGTAATAGATCAGTGCCCTGAACTTCCCTTCTGAACAGGAATCTCAATAAGGGAAACCCTGTGTCATAGTAGTCACTTGTAATTTTCTGAAAAAAACATGTACATGAAAATATTATTTATTTGGTCATATATATTTATAGGGCTATCCATGCATACCTCACATGTATTTACTTTACACATAGATTACTAAAATATTACTCTTCTGTGTATGGACTATACGTTAAGGGATGCCCTGCTTTGGCACAGAGTTTGGGCTGCAGGGTGACCAGCACAACGTCACCGACGCTCCAACTGAAGCGATCTGAGAAAGCGGCAGTAGAGTTTGTTCTCTGTTTGAGAAAGCTCAGAACAGGCAGAAAAAACCTTCAAACCTGTACACGCAGACCTGTTTCAGGTGTGGAGTGTGTTTGGTTTTATTTTCTTGCTGCAATTTCCAAGTGCTGTATTCTAAGGGAAGCAGATGTTTCTCCAGGATTTGAGGTGCCGTGGATTCAGATCACATACCCTTCATGCTAATCCTTGTTGGCACAAGGTGGATAATGGCATCTGTTGTCGTAACACCCTGGGGTGTTTGAGCCTCCCCCTCCTCCCGAAGGACTGTGCATAGAGAGGTATTATCAATATGAAATTAATCAGTTCAAAAGTGCGGCTCATGATGAGACTTTTACTCAACTCGGAAAATAGAGCAAAATCCATTTTGGAAAGCTCAGAAATCTGGAAATGTTTCACGTAGTATCGTGTGTAACGTTTTTGCCTGGTAACATGAGCTCACAGCATCCTGAGCTGAGTATTTTAAATATGGTTTGCTCAGTCCTTATCTGTAACATGGACTCACACGAACTGATCTCACACACACACGTGCAGACAGGCACTGACTGAATTCTCTTACTCTGTGCTTTGCATGTGTATAACTGGGAGAGTCAACATAGTTTAGTATCTCCACAGTTTAATTTTGACTTCTATTTTTTCATATGTCAGATGCTCTCATTCTCCGAGAGAATTTTACAGACTTCTTATTCTCATGTGTTGGTTACTATCGGATCGTCAGACAAATGTGAAGCACTTTAAAAATAATTCACTGTCAGACCAGTAACGTTTGCACATTTTGGAAACAATTTACTACTGAAAATTCTATGAAGACCAAATGTTTTATGCAAGACCGTGTAACTTGGAGATCACCCTAGTTTGCTATAAATATTTTTCTAAAGATGCATGAGAGAAGGACAAAGGAGAATGCATTAATCTTCAGTGTCACGTCTTTCAGATGCTGGAATCCCGGATATGGAAATAGAACACAACGGAACCCAACATGACAGTGCAGCAATGCAAGGTGCAGTATGTACCACATCCCATCCCACGCGTGTTTCTCATGAGCCATATTAAAAGTTAAATGAATTGCAGAATAGCTTTTGTCTCTGTTTTTGTGCTTTAAGATAAATGTAGACTGCCCAGCTTCATTTTGTTTTCCTGTTCAACACAGAAAACCTTTGAAAGATTGGAACTTTACAAGAGCAAAAATGAAATTTGTTGAGAGGTGTGTGAAACAGCTATCAGATATATGCGCTTAGCTCAGAAATTTATTTTACATGTGATTTATCTTTTTAAAATATTTAACATCTGATCCTTACCTACCTATCAAGATGGTAGGGGTTTTCAAAAAACACATAAACTGTAGGTGGAAAACAAAAAAAGCATGTTCATGTAATGAGCAATTCCATAGTGTTCCATTTTCCTCGCTGCTCAGTGACTGTAAATCCAGAACGTTCACGAATTGTTGGAGTGCTTCCCAAGGAATAATGAATGCTTTCCGGCTCTAGGCCTGGGAAGTCAGGGAGTTGTGAA